AAGCTTCGCACGATAGGGGACAATTTCACAAAGGTTGCACTTTGACCTCGAGCGGTAGGAGATGAAAATTGCTTATGAAAGAAATTAGCTGATAATGATCGCGCAGAAAGCGGAGCTCGAGACTCAGTCAGGGATCAGTCACGGAGAGAGAGAGGTCACAAAGCTCTCTACAAGTACAAGCAGACTCGGAGAGAGGGAGATAGTCGCGGTGTGGGACGATGAAGAACGGGCCACATGTCCTGGGAAGTGCTCAGGGCAACCATGCACCAGGAGATGGCATTTGTAGCACCAAGATTTGAACTAAGTAACTTGAAGAGCTGCGCAAGTCCACTCGCGTACTCGCGTGTAGTTTTGGCAGCACCAGGCTCCTTTTACGGTCGCAGTTTCCCTGAGAAGCTAGAAGTCAAACGCGACATTTGAGCAAATCACGACTCGACTGCTGAGGATCGAGGAACACGCCTACAATGAAGTAACCTTCCACTCTACAAACCTAAGGAAACGGTGAGTTCAAAGTTGCCTCTGCATTTACATCGTGTAGGACCAGATCCGTCCAACCCTGTAAAACGAATATGCCCCAGCCGCCCCCTTCCAGTTGTCCTATTCGTCGTGTTATTTCTCCTTCTCTGCTCATTTTGTATTCTCATACTAGTATTCTCATCCTGACTGTACAAAATGGAAGCCTTTGTAAGCCACTGTAGAAACCAAGGCGGCATTTTGGAAGATTTGAAGCAGGGAGTAGTACAATACATATATTGTACTACGCCCTGATTTGAAGGACCTGAAACAGCAGATTAGTGCACTTTCATCAACAATCATTTTCGGTCGATTTGTCGGAACAACCTGTTAACTTAATCGGAGTGCTTCCGAAAAATCCGAATGAAACAAGGGACAGCCTTGTTATTACCAAGACTATGTATACTGTAACACAACCCCATCCCAGTTGCGCACTCTGGGGAATTATGTACTCTCAATATTACGGATATCCTACAGTCCATTTCAAAACTATAGATGCGTACCTAGGCAAAAACCGTTATGCCAGCATCTATACCACATAAAATCTGTGATCACTTTGTGCATAATTTTTTCCAAATTGGGCGTCTGTTATCCACTCGTGTAGAAGCTATATGAGAGTAAAGCGGGATTCACAGAAGCTTTTTTTGTGATGCGACACGCGATGCGACGCTATCTGCGACAGACGCGTGCAAAGCGAACTCGCGAAATGCCATTCACAGAAGAAGTCAGCGATGCGACAAAGTCTTGCTGATTTGGGTACGTCACCATGATATTCGCGCGGTTTGATACAACTTGTACAATTTTTTAGGCAAAAATGAACCTTTGTACAACTTTGCTGTAGAAAAGCTCAAAATCGTACGCCAAATCGCTTGTCGCATCGCATCGCATCGCAAAAGTTGAGCCAAGCTCAACTTCTGCGATGGCCTGCGATGGCCCAGTTGCGGCAGTTGTGGGGGGTGCGACATGGCTGCGATTTGGGGTTTTCCCGGTTTCGCGCCTGTCGCATCACGTGTCACATCGCAAAAAAAGCTTCTGTGAATCCCGCTTAATTGTGGAGCGGACCTGAGCAATATTCCGAAAACTATTCTCAAAAAGCTCCAGCCAAATTTGAAATATTTCAAAAACCCTATGCGTCTATAGTTTGGAAATGGACTGTATACCCTTTCATCACGCCCGGACTGAGCCACACGGTGAGCTATCACTAGTGAAATAGACATGGAGTGGAAAAAAACACATGTCACTTGAGGAAATTATAATAATCCTGCCAAAAAAGGATTAAAAAAACGGTTTGTGGGAAAGTCAGTTTCATGACTCGATATCTCCGTTAGCGTTATTCTTTCGGAGGTTGGGAACAATCTAGTTCTTTTTGAATATCAAATTCAATCACATTTCGGTGGATGGCCTCACTCAAGACCTTTGCAATGAGCTGTCATTCGCGTAAATTGGACAATCTGCTGCAAATTTGTGGTGCATTTCGTGGCATGGGTGCATGAAGTTGACCAAGGTCAGAAAATTTGAGGGGGGTGCTTGAGCATCCAAAGCCCCCGGCCCGGGTACACCACTGCAATGTGTAGCCAGCAGACGGTTTTTGGCAGGGAGTAGTAAATACCGATATTTTACGACTCCCTGGTTTTGGGTGTTGTGTTGTGAGCAGGGAGTCATAAAATACCGGTATTTTACGACTCCCTGGTTGTAACTTGTGAGCAGTGTAAAATGGCTGCAATGGAGTCTCTGCATGTTCATCCACTTTTGTAGCGTACATGCACAGTTTAGAACTTCAACAAATACCGGTATATCTGAAAAGATGCGTGATCACTCTGTGGGCCTGTGAGTAGACGCAACACATTCTGTGAAGGTTCTGCACCGTTAGTCTATTCTCTGTGGCTGCAATAAAAGCGGGTCATGAACGTGGCTATCGAATGTGTCCAAGTCAAAAGTAGTTGACATTACTGTGTAATACCGTGACTGTATGACTCATCGTAGCAGCACATGATGCAGAAGTTGTGGCGATGGTTAAATGCCGATCGGCGTGCAGTAAGCATAAGGCCTGGCGCATAACTGGGCACTAAGGGGCCATCCGGCATTAGCGATAATTTTCACGGAACGAAGAAGTTTAGTTTTGACCCTCCCCACCCATCCACCCCCTTCAACGAAAAATATATTGACCTAACAGCTAGAATGAATTGATGTTTCAGCTATCGATATTTTTCGAATCGAAACTCTCCCCAAAGCACCCACCCATGAACGAAGCTTTTTCTCTTCGTGAAAAAGATCAACAATTGCGGACGGCCCCTAAATCTGGGCAGAAAGTTCATCTTCTCGGGATTCTATTCGTTTTTTTATCTGCTCAAATGGCTAGGTACCACACTCATAAAACCTGTTTGCCAAACAGACCAAATACACAAACAGTAGAACTGGTTGTAGCCAAGGACTTTCTGCCTGCCTGATGATCGGCACACGAAAAAATAATATTATGCAAGTTAATCTGACCTGTAGATCTAGAGATGGAGTCCAGGATTGTCCAAAGATAATAGTGTACATGATCAGAAATCCTAGCTTGCAACAATTCAACTTGAAAGTTCTGATAATCAACTAATTTTCGCTGACGATATAATTTCGCTGACTTCGCCGCTGTGTACCAACCGGCCAAAGTAAATCCCCGGCCAAAGTTTTTCATAGAGGCAAATGATGCATGGATGCATGTGAGAGCACCAACTACTGATCGATTTCTGGCCAAAGTTTAATGATGCCAAAAGTTTCATTTTGAGATCGGCCAAAGTTTCCCACCGGCCAAAATTTGTTGATTTACAGTAAAAGTATCATATTGGAGTCATCATTGGTCAATGAGGTACACGTGCGCATACAACTGCAGAATAGGAAATACAGGAATATCAAGACACATTTGACTTTCATGCTGTGGAATGTCTCAGTACTCCTTGTCAGTTCTGTGCTGGATTGTGCACGTCTGACAGTTCAAAATCTGGTTTAGTTGGTGGACTCGATCGCATAACTTGTGCCCACACTTTTTTCCATGTTACAATTTTTTCCTTGGCTCACCAGCTGAGTTCTTATTACACATCAAGATAATAATTATTAGCACACAGAGAGACGAAGCCAGTTGTAAATCTGATGAGTCCTTTCGTACTATTACTTCTCAAATCAGTACATGATGATGTGACGAAGCACAACGATGTCAATTTCTACAGCATGTTGGCGGAAAAATTGTGATGAAACGTACACAAGCCGAATGATGGTGTGTGTTGCTCCAAAGAGTACAAGAACTATGAATAATGTGCTGTGCTCCGTCACATTATCACCATGACAAATCAGTACATTGTACAGATCTGGGGTTCTGTTTTGAGAAGTAATGGTACGAAAGGCCTCATCAGATTTTACAACTGACTGCGTCTCTTCATATGCTAGTACGTGTCCTTCCGGCTACTGTAAAATGGCTAATTTTAGCCACGATGATATTTTGGCGACTTTAGCAAAAGTAGTGTTTTCGCTAAAGTTTTGCATTTTGCCAATCGAAACTTTGCATGTACCGTACACTACCAGTCATTTTTCTTTTTTTTTTAACGTCTGAAACTCGGATCGCTAAAATATTTCATCGTGAATTGGTCCAGATTCAGAAAACGGTAAAATGTTTAGCCGCTCAGAAAATTATCCGTTCTACAGTAAGTCTCTAGTAGATCAAATAGCAAAACATGGGAGGCATAGTGTTCTAAATGCTCAAATTTGCAATGTTACTGCTGTGCCCATACTGGAACGATGCCGTTGCTTGTTCCCACGTGAAATGAATACAGCCGCTTTTGTGCACTTGCCTCCCGCATACCTCACTCAGTAGTATGGTGTTGAACAAATCCACTCTACGAAGCCACGTGACCCTTATGTTGATGTCCACTCCATTATTACCATGGTCACCAGGCGCATGCGCCGGTGCCCTTCAAGGGGGGTTCTGGGGGGCTCCCCGGGAAAATTTTCAAAAATGAAGCAAAATCCTGCATTTTGAGCGAAAAAAGGGGGGCTCCAGAAAACTACTCAAGAAATCTACCGGATCGAGAGAGTGCTCTGAAAGGACAACAGGAAGAAACAAGCCCTTGTGAGGTGGAAAGGCTACTCGGTGAGATTCGACAGCTGGGTCCCGCTTGAGGAGCTCACTTGGTTGTGATCACGGATCACGTGGTACGGTAGGGTCAGGTTAGTAGATGAGGAGACAGAACGAAAGCAGAAAAGTTCAGGGCTCACAGTTGCGTAGAAAAGCATCGATTAGATGGGGGTGGCGCACATGCTCCAAAACATCACCAGCAATCAGCGACATCGCGCCTGACAAAAGTTTTTCAAATAAAATATTTCCACCCAAACGTCACTGCTGGTGCTGAGCTCGCGATCGCGCGATCGAGCGTGAAGTTTTTTTGTGATCTCAATGAAAAAGGATTTTTTGAACTCACGCTGTACACAACAAGCTCTCTGCATGTCTTTTTCGGTGGAGGTGATTTTTGTTGTTGTTATTGTTGTGGCTGGCGGCGAGAAGGCTCTCATTTACGCTAGGTATCTCATAGACAGAATGAGCCTGGTTTTTACGCCAAGCTGATGTTTTCAGTAGCAGTCCGCTGCGGAGAAAATTCAAGCAGTCTTTAATAGGGGCCTGAAGTTTTCGCTGCTTCTTACCGGATCGACAGTGGGAAAGAAGGTACGTTTATTTTATTGTAATAAATTGGGTCGCGAGGTCGACACAATTGAGCTGTTCGTTGCACTGTGAATTTTGTTGCTTTAGGGTGGCAGCGTGCAGTACCTTGTGAAATGGAGAGACTTTATCCTTTACGAACTTGGGAGTATGAAGAAGATATCAGTGACGATCTATCAGGTGATTTCATTTCATTTTGGGTGAATTTATTGAATGTATTCTTGCATGAATTTGAAAATCTCCCTTTTGTTTGCTGTAGATCTTTTGATGGTTCGGGGAATGTTGGGCCCTTGCTCAGATGACGAATGTTTGAGGCTGCTGATGGAGCTTGCACTGCTGTGCAGTGAAAAAATAGAAGTGAAATAGTCTATTTCTGACTTTCCTATCAGAAACTGGACAAAGGGGGTTGGGACCGAAGAATTTCCCTGTGAAGTTCTTTCCTCCAGGTTGGGATGCTTTCATGAACGTACATGGACAAGGCCCACGGGCTCACTACCTGGTTACCATCAAGCCTATGGTTTGCCGTAGTCCATGTACGTTCCTGCAGGACTCCTCTGGATCTATGGCAGGAGGGGATCGTGCTGCCCGGCAGTTTGTCTCTTCCACAGAAAAGGGCATTGAGCACAACGAAAGCATTGTAGCATGAAACTAATTTGTCTGAATACAAATCTGCACAATGGCACAGACGGTTAATGGAGGTAAAGCATGGCATCACCAGCATTGTATTCCTGGAAGCAGTGCAAGTTATAGATTTAGGTATCAATATTTATCTAAGCTTTAGCGAAGTCCGGACGCAGTACATTACTAGTGTGAAAGATAGAAGAAAAAGCAATGATATCTGTATATACCCGGAAAGAGAGGTGAGAGTGGGTGGGAGTAAGTGAAAGCACTTGTACAAGCTAAACATCCGTGCAACCGGAAAGAGCAGAGAAAAGGCTAAAGCTATTACACAGGCCATGTGTACGAGGTAATTTAACAGTGAGACCCAAACATTATTGTAAACCAGAATGCAGCTTCAGCTCACACTTTCTATTTCTGCATGTTGCGCTGCTGTTCCCGTTTCCCAACGATATGATGAGGCTCTCCGTTATGCTTCTGCTGGTTTTCCTGTGCAGGTATGTGCTGCCGTAGCTCAGAGAAATCTTTGGCCAGGGTAGCCAAGATGGCATCACCCACATCCTCCTCTCCTTCAGGTTCACTTGTAGGTTTGGCATTCATGCTTGACATCTCCTTCAGTACTGTGTAGGTCTTCTCCAATTTGTTTTTGTCTGCCCATACCATTTGCACTGCTCAGTGATGTCGGCGACAGTCGCCTCCAGCTCACCATTTTCCATTTTTTCTTTACTTTTTGGCTACGCTGTGCGTCCTTGAGGTAGCATTTGAGGCTGACCAGTTCTTCTTCTACCTTTGTTTTGCAGACATTCTTGTCTAGTGTTCAGTGATCGAACCCAGTCAATGTTGAAGCACCCTTGTTATTTCTTTCCGTTTCTTTTTATTTGTGTACGCCGCTGCCTGCAACCGTGCATTTTAATAGGTTTGCGAGAATCTCTTTTTACCTGCAGCAACCAGAGTTTGAAAGTACCGACACAAACTGGAAGCATGCCCAGTTTTCAGACAACTAGCTGCTTCAAAAATTCTTATGTCAGATGAGTGACTGGTTGCGCAGCCGACATTATGGTGACATAATGTGTCCTTGTAGTTCTGTTTATTATTACTTGTATATTTCACTGTTCGCGTCAAACTCGGCTAAAGGCCGAGTTTTCCGCATCCGTAGGAACGCCACCACCCTTCAAGGATCGTGTGTTTATTATAACAGTGTATTTTGTTATTTGTTTTGACCATCAGTCCTTGGCTGATGCTGGTCATACCTTCAACATGTTGACGCGTTTTTCAAGGCATTCAATATACGTAGGCCGCAAGATTCTATCTTTTCATAACGAATACCGATGGCTAGTGCTTCCCCACTAGCTGCGCAAGTGTCACATCTGGCTGCGGCCAACTACCCTTTAAGTTGTGTGTTGTCGCTATTGCTGTCTATGTCTCTGTGTGTGCCAGTATATGAGGAACGAGAATTGGTGTTATTGTTGTTGTTGTTGTTGTTCTGGTTGTCATGGGCTGTGGCTGTTGAATGTAGGCTGTCGCGTTTGTTGTACTTTTATTTAAAGCTGCATCACAAACAGGTAACCACCTTGATGATGGTGCACAATATCCGTTGAAGAAGCCGCAAAAAACACTGTATTCTCAGACCAGTGAGCTGCAGAATGAAACCAAGTATCAAGCTGGCAAAGCTGTCAGCCACTCTAAACGCTGCCCTCAAACCATACCACCTAGAAATTTACACAAAACAAGTTGCTATTTGTCAACAGGCAGTCATAAAATTCGACTCCCTAACTCAGTCACTCTACACTACAGAGTACTACTACTAGACTAGAGTAGTGTAGTCACTGAGTAGTCTACGTCCTTGTACATGACAGCATGCATCATGTCATGTCAGTACATGGACATGGCATGCATCCAGCACATGGCCATGGGAAAGCCCCTACAAAATGGCCTTCAGAGAAAGCCACGCGGTCGGAGAGGTAGTTTACTCGAAAAAACAGAGAAAGAAGTGCTTTTCATCTTCTTGCTGTTCAATGTCAAGCCAGAAACAATTGAGAAGATGCTTGAAATGTGCAGAATGAGGCGATTTCCTAGATCTTTGAAGCTAGAAAGCGCACTGGACCTGCAATCTTTTGGAACTGGTCCTTCTTGAGGACAGAGATCAGACTAGCCAGATGACAATGCTGTGGTTTGCTGGCTGACAATATTTGGAGGAAGCTTCAGAAATGACCATGAAGAAGGTCAATTCTTGCTATTTCCTCAAGATCACCAAGGTAACAGATACTTTTCAGTGGAGAAGAAAATCATGATTCTTAGGAGTTGAGATCGCATCGGTTGTTCAATGTTTTTCACTTTCGCTTTTTTCGTTGTGTAACTGTTCGTCTTGTTGGCGTGGTTCACTGGTTTGATGCCTTACATTTCGATTATGGCCATAGTTCAGAGCAATTTTCTTCCTTCCAAGATCAATCTCTGCAGTAAATGCGCAAATAATTTACGGAATTTCGGACTCTGTGGGATGTCATATAATTGCTGGTAATGATGCCAGCTTCACCAATCAGCAGTCAGCATTTTGAAAAACAAGAAAGCATTTTTGAAAAAATGAAAAATGAAAAGCGAGTCCCACCTCGGACACTGACCACAAGCGCTTACAGCAGCTGCTCAGTGCAGAAGACCTCGGCGACCGCAAACCTACCCAGTTCTTGCGACGGATGGAGCAGTTGCGAGGCACTACCAATATCGACGACACTCTGCTCTGGGAGCTGTTCCTATAGCGCATGCCCGCACAAGTCCGTGCCATCCTGGCTACCGTGCCTTCCTCTGCACCCCTCGCGGACATGGCCAAACTGGCAGACACGGTCATGGAGCAATTTCCTGTCGGCCCAGCTACTCTCTCAACAGTTGCCACCTCAGCTCCGTCTGCCGCCGCGTCCACCCAGGACCAATTAGCAGCACTCTCGGCCCAGGTGGCTCGCATTGAGCAACAGCAGCAGCACCAGGACCGTGGACGCCCTCGGCAGCGCTCTGATAGCCACTCCCACAGTGCCTCCAGCCGCGGTCGCAGCCCATCCTCTTCCAAGTCCGATGACGCGGGTGTCTGCTGGTACCACCGCAAATTCGGTAAGGCCCCGGTCACACCAAAACAAGCCACTTTGGGCTTGTTATCGCTGGCGCTCAGCTGGCTTGCGTGGTCCCTGTGACGCGGTCACACCAGACCTTGAGTGCAAAGCTTGAATGGCTTGTTTTTCTTACCCGCCAAATTTTGAATATCTCGAAACACACCAATGTTTGCAAGAAACCGGAAAGCAGAACGTTCGCGATCTAAAACTGTACTTGTTCTAGGGTTCAGTTTTGATGAAGAAGCAAAGGAAGCCCGGATTCTGAATTGCAAAGTCGTGCTCTTTTTATTTGTTCGGTGTGCATGGGCGCTATGGTTTGGGTGGTGTTTTCTGATGTCGAGCTTTCTGCCCCACCCGTTGCCGTTCTTGAACTCAGTTGCAATCCACTCTCTTCTTCATACCCGGCTTTCTTCATGAATTCGGTCGTGAGTGTGGTGCCTTGTCTTGGCCTCAAACCACAGCTCCAACAATCTACGCAGCAGTCTAGAGGCACAGCGGCAGAAATCCATGGTCGTCGGACAAAATCCAAATCAAACTGAATACAGTGTAGTTGGATAGACAGACTCACGGTCAAAACCAAAGGCACAGGGATAGCACGGTTCCACGGACACAAGAAAGAACATCAATATCAGTTCATCATGTCAACCAGCTACATGGTGTGCTCCAAGCGCACTCAAATTATTTTTTGAATTTCGGCTTTCAGCCGCTTGTACAAGCTGTGGCTGAAACAAGCCGAAAAAACGGCTGAGAGTCAGCCACGGCTGAAAGTCGCTTGTAGGACATTATTCAGCCATTTCCATGGTAATAGTGACGTAAACAAGCGCTTTTTCGGCTGAACGGCTGAATCGAGCTCGATGTGACCGCGGCCTAACCAGGCACAGCGCTGCACCATCCCCTGCTCCTTCAAGCCGTCGGGAAACGCTCCAGCCAGCCACTGACGGTGTCCACTGTTCCTGGCAGGGAATTGCTGTACGTCACCGACAAGCTCTCCGGGTTCCGGTTCCTGCTCGATACAGGAGCCACTGTGAGTTGCCTCCCGCCCTCTGCTGCTGACCGCCGTCATCCACCAACCTCTCGGTTACGTGCCGCCAATGGCCCGGGCATCAGTACATTTGGTGAACGCTCAACTACCATTGACATTGGCCTGCGGCGCCGCTTTCAGTGGATTTTTGTGGTGGCCGACGACACGTCCCCAATCCTTGGCATTGACTTCCTCCGGCATTTCCACCTCCTGGTCGATCCTGCCGCTGGCGCCCTCAGGGACACCTCTACCCAGCTGGTTGCTTCTGTTAGCCCATCGGACACACCATCCAGTGCGCCCCTCTCGCCACTACCCGATGCCCCAGCTGATAGCTCCATCAACCTGCTAGGCGAGTTCCCATCCCTCATGTTGCCGCCAAACCAGGAACATGTGGCAAAGCACTCAGTACAGCATCACATCACCACCAGGGGAGCACCAGTACATGCCAAAGTCCGTCGCCTGACTGGATACCGCCTGACCGACGCCAAGCAGGAATTCGAGCATAGCAGCTCGGTATTGTCCGCCCCTCGACCAGTAGTTGGTCATCAGCTTTGCATCTCGTTGAGAAGCCTTCGGGTGACTGGCGACCCTGCGGGGATTACCCTGCCCTCAATGCTGCCACCGAACCAGACCGGTACCCACTTCCTCACCTTCACAATTTCGCTGAGCATCTTCATGGCAAGTCAGTGTTTTCCAAGGTCGACTTGAAGAAGACGTACTATCAAATTCCTGTTGCGCCAGCCGATGTCCCCAAGACTACCATTACAACCCCCTTTGGAAGCTTCGAGTTCCTCCGAATGCCCTTCGGCCTCCGGAACGCGACGCAAAGCTTCCCACGGCTCATCGACAAAGTCACTCGTGGGTTGGATAGCGTTTTTGTCTACCTGGACGACATCTTGGTGGCTAGATCCTCCCATAAACAGCACCGGAGGCACCTCCGACTGCTACTGCAGCGCCTGGCTGACTATGGGTTGGTGGTGAATCCCGACAAGTGCGTCTTTGGTGTGTCAACGTTGGAGTTCATTGGCCACACAGTCAGCAGTGACGGCACTAGCCCTCTGCCAGCTAAAGTCACTGCTGTCCAGGAGTTCCCTGCACCGAAATCCATTTACCAGCTCAAACGGTTCCTTGGCCTCATCAATTTCTACCGTCGGTTCCTTCCAGACTGTGCCGCTACGCTCAAGCCTCTCACAGTATCGCTCGCTGGTCCCAAGTTGAGTAAAACGGCTCCGATCAGTTTGAATGCGACTGCTCTGGCGGCTTTCCAGATTATCAAGTCCACACTAGCTGCAGTGACTTTACTCCACCATCCCGATCCCTCCGCGTCGTTCAGCCTCATGGTTGATGCATCCGACCAGGCCATTGGTGGAGTCCTCCAACAGCAATGTACTGTACCGTATCCCAACCTCTCGCGTACTTCTCTGTCCCGCTGAAACCAGCTGAGACACGGTACAGTACTTTCGGCAGAGAGCTCCTGGTCATCTATCTCTCAATACGGCACTTCCGGTACTTCTTGGAGGGCCGCGAATTCTGCGTGTTCACCGACCACAAGCCTCTGTGCCACTCCCTCACTAGCTCATTGTCACAGCACAGTTCTCGGGAGATTCGTCACCTCGCCTTCATCTCGGAATTCACCACCGATATCCGGCATGTCAGTGGTTCTGCTAATCGGGTGGCCGACGCTCTCTCCCGCATCCCGGAAGCTGTATGTGCTACACACTCTGCCATCGACAGCACCACCCTGGCCCAGGCTCAGTCTACTGATCAAGACTTAGTCCGTTTCCGTGCTGCTCCTCAAACGGGTTCATCTGTCACATGGTCCTGCCGACAAATCTCCCCATCGCTGTATGTGCAAGGCAAACATCTCCACTGGGACATTCCGACCTTACGTCCCCAGTGCCCTCCGCCTCACCGTCTTCCAGCAGCTCCACGGCTTAGCTCATCCTGGCCGGCGTGCTTCCGTTCGTCTCTTGACCTCCTCATTCTTCTGGCCTGGTATGCGCAAGGACGTCCGTCAGTTTGTGCGTGAATGCACTGTATGCCAGCAGGCGAAGGTGCATCGCCATACCTGCTCGGCCCCTGGGTCTTTCCCGCCCCCGGCCCATCGCTTTGCTGAGGTGCACATTGACATTGTTGGTCCACTCCCCGCCTCGCTTGGCTACACGTATTTGCTCACGTGCATTGATCGTTTCAGCCGCTGGTGTGAGGCCATCCCGATCTCGGACATCACTGCCACTACCACTGCCCGCGCATTTCTGTCTGGCTGGATTGCC